GTTATTACAAAGTTTCAATCGCCCAACAGCAGCAGTTCTCTGCTCAGTGTGGATTTGCTTGGATGCCAACTGTAGGAAATTGATGCTGGGCCTAAACATCTTTTAATCCTTAGGGGAAAGCTGAAGAACCTGTGGGGTGGTGAAATTTACTCACCTGGTGCTGCCTACAAGACGAACAAGACGCTGAAATTAGCACAGAATGCATCAGCTGAATCGTGCCTGGGAAGAATCTATGTATTTAAAACATTTATATAGCTGCCCATCTTGTACCAAACTAAGGCAGGAAGAATCTTCCATAGAGTTCAGGCTACCACAGAAAAGTCATGTGGTATGAGCACAATGAGATGAGATATTTGCTGGCTTGGAGTGTGTTTCTGGATACAGTTCAAAATGCTGGTTTTATTAATAAAGTGCTATGGTATGGGCCAGGGTTTCTACAGGACAGTCTTCTCCAAGTTAACGGGCCAGTTTGTTCTACTCAAGAACTGATGCTTCAGATACCCTCAGCCTGAAAGATCAAGGAGAAGAGGGAAGGGGAGTGAAGTGGTCCATTGCCACCCCTCACCCTCTTAATTAAATTTCGTCTAGTGGCTAAGGCAGCAGGATAGAAACCTAGAATTTTAATCCCCCCTTAAGTATGAAAACTAGATGGATGACTTTGGGCCAATCACCAGGAGATGGTGAGTGATGGATGACTTTGGGCCAATCACCAGGAGATGGTGAGTTCTAGTCCCGCCTTAGGCATGAAAAATAGTTGGATGATTTTGGGCCAAATCACCAGGAGACAATGACGTCTGGTCCTGTCTTAGGCATGAAAGTCGGCTGGGTGATTTGGGGCCAGTCTCTCCAACCCACCTCATAGGGTGACTGTTATGGAGAAAATAGGAGAAGGAAGGAGTATGTTCACTCCATGAGTTATTTATAAAATAAAATAATAAAGGCAGGATAAAAATTTAAGTTCCCTCAACAAAATTTTATGGCTTCTATTTTAGTCACAGTTATGACAAAGTTGTGTTACTTCCAGACCAGACCATACATTCGCAACTTTAAGATGGATAAAATCTGTAACCCATAACTTTGGGAGAGGACTGCAGTGACTGGGAGGAAAAGCAGTGGAAGTGCAATAAGGACTGGCAATGGGGCTATAATTCCCACAGCTGGCATAGTTTTCTGCTGACTGAAGAACAGAGCATTTAAACTAGGATAGGAGGTGGGAGACTATATTCCCAAAAGTTGATAACTCCAGAGTTAAAAAAAAAAGCAACAACCTTAATTTCTTTCTTTTTTATTATCTTTACATTTAAATGAAAGCACTTGTAGGGTGGTTCCCTGTGTATTTAATAATAGTTAAATAAATAAATCCCCCTTTATGTCAAAATAAAAAGAAAACACAATTTGATGTTAATCTTGGACAGGTTGAGCAGACCCCCCTGCAAGGGGGGTTGTTCCTCCCCCCCCCTTTTCAATTCTTGCAGGCTGTAATTAGGAACCCCATTTTTGTTCCCTGTTTAAGGAATGCATCTGGTATTGATTTCTGGCATCATCGGATGATTTATCTGGCTCAACCAATGATAGATGCACTCCACATAAAAGCATTTTGTCATCTTAGATCAGGGCTTTTCAAGCAGTGGTACGGGTACAACCTGTGGTACATTGGCACCTGGCAGGTGGTACGCGACCATCCTAGAAAAGTGATAGCGGGGGAGGGGAAAGAGCTGAACAGGTGGCAGCATCGCATAAGCCTGAGCGAGAGATGGCTGGAGCTGCAGGGCTGTCAGGGCTCAGCAGAAGTGCCAGAATCAGAGCCGCTTTCCAGCTGATTGGCACTTCTTCGGGGCTGTCAGGGCTCAGGGGAAGCGCCAGGATCAGTGCCAGGCTCCAGCTGGAGCTCGGCGCTGATCCTGGTGCTTCTGCTGAGCCCAGAAGAAGTTCCAATCAGCTGGAATGTTGCAGCATCTCCAGGGTCTTGTGATTTATATTCAGATGCTTGGCAACTGATTCATATTTATGACAGTCACAGTGTCCCAGGGTCATGTGAAGTGACCAAAACCTGCTGCAACCATCCAGCAGATGGGGGGGGGGGAACCAAATACCCCCCACCCCACCCCCGCTGCCAATCCTCAACAGAAATGCTCACAACAGTGAAAACCTCGGACAGGAGGAAGAGTGTGACCAGGCAGGCAGGCGTCTTGTTCAGCTGTGGCTTGGGGGGCACTTTTTCAGTGCCATTGTAACTTCAAATAGTCACTAAGCGAACTGTGTAAGTCGAGGACTACCTATACTTCATCACTTTTTTCCTTTTTTTTTTTTGGTCATCAAGTTTTTGACACCTTGCTAGGTGACTGGTGGTACTCGGATGTTGCCATATCATAAAAGTGGCACAATGGGTGAAAAGGTTGAAAAGCCCTGTCTTAGATAACCAACTGATGCATCAATGGAGGTTGTTGGACAAACAATCGAGAAAGACTGGGGTTAATTATGTTGCCTCTGTAATAATCAAGGACTTGCAGAATAAGGAATTTATCCTAACTAGATGCAACCTATCAATAGGACCATTTGTTAGCTTCATCAGAGAGATCATCCATATCCCTCCATATACAAGTAAACCCAAACCTATGACATCCCCTCCCACATCCAGAAACATGCATGAATTGCTTAAAATCCACTTGTAAGAAAACATTTATAGCAAGATGAAGTGACCCTGAGGAGTGACAGGGAAAGGAATCTGTCAGGAACTTGTGGTCCAGGGAACCAAATTGTTTACATGTAGTCCTCAACTTACGACTGGTTGTTTAGTAACCATTCAAAGGGACATCCCCCAAAAGGCACTTACAACCCAATTCCTAAGTTGTGACAGATGCACCTCCCTCCCCCTTGTAGTCACCTTACCACATTTCAAGTGCTTGGCAACTGGCCCGCATTTATGGCTCCTTTTAGGTCCTGTGGTCATGTGATGTAAATTTATGGTGTTTTTGCCAAACAAAATGGCACTTACTTCTGGTTTTTGACAAAAATGCCCCATAGCAAAAACTGGGTTTGCTGAACAACCAAAGATTCACTTAACAACCATGGTGATTCACTTATCGACCACTGCAAAAAAAGGTCATAAAATCAGGTTAGTCACATGATGAGCCATTTTACAATGTCACAACTTATGATCATAATGGGCAGACTCCCATTATAAATCAAGGAGTATCTGTATATCCACTGTATATTTCAGAGATAGTATGGGCTAGCTAGCATGTTGACCTAATGGGGAGGAAATAATAATAATAATAATAATAATAATAATAATAATAATAACAACAACAACAATAATAACAACAATAATAAGATGATGATGATGATGATGATGATGATGATGATGACACTCAGATTGATTTATTAAAAGCATTCCAACTTCATGCTGTAATTTTCACTATTTCTGCAAAGTAGTATTAAGACAAGGATCTATAAGTTCTGCCTTTGATCAGGGCTGTCAGCAAAGTGTCAATGCTTTTTTGGAAGCCTAGAATATACTGTTCTATTGTTTGCATGCTAATAAAATTATGTTGCATCTTTGAAGTGATTTGGCTGCTTTAGATGAGTCAAGCTTTGGCCACAACAAATTATGCTGGATTTTCCCTGTCCCCTTTGATCTTTCCTCATCCTGTTTTCCGAAACACGAGACAAGAAGACAGTATAGTATACATACATATACCTACTGTATTTCAAGAGTTTCAAGTTCCAAGAAACTGAAATGTAAGACAAATAAGTTGTTACAAGATAAGCACAACAATCATTCACAAGACCAAGTAACTGGTAACACAGGTAGTCCTTGACTTATGACCACAAGTGGGAGCAGAATTTCCATTGCTAAACAGCTGTTAGGGGAGTTGTGCCTGATTTTATGGCCTTTGTTGCCACGACTATTAAGCAAAACACTACATTTGTCAAGTGAACCACCCAGTTAAGAAAATCCAGCTTCCCCCATTGACTTTGCTTGTCAGCTGTTGGCTGGGAAGGTTGCAAATAATGATCACATGACCTTTGGATGCTGCAATCATGACACACAGTTGTCAAGTGCTTGAATTTTAATCATGTGATAGTCATAAGTGTGAGGACTGATCTTAAGTCACTTGTTTCAATGCTGTTGTAACTTCAAATGGTTGCTGAATAAATGGTTGTAAGTCAAGGATTACCTGTAACACAATCAACTTAACATATATAGTGAGGGGAGAAAAGAACTCTTCATTGTGATTAAGCCTAGTTGAAATTCAAAGTCATATATTCTTACTCAGCTGCCTTTTGACCAATGTGCCCTTGATCAACTGAAAGAACTCAGGAATGGTCTTTAGTATAAATAATTTGGTGCCAATTCCTTTACAAGAAACTGGGAAAAATAAGATTGCATCATAAGCATATCAATAGAAGATCATATTTACATTTGGAAGCACTTAGAAGTATGGAGTATGTATTTTTACATCTTGGCATCTGCACTACAACACTGTAGCATTGAGAAATTAATTCTGCTGTCTGTTCCAATCTTAAAGGCTGTGATTTTTAATTGGCCTTTGAAAACATATACACTTACAGCAATTTTGTCCCATAATTAACTTTTTTTTAATTGATATTTTTAGTTAATTTTTCTTTCTCTCTGTTTGGAAGCTTATTTGAACCTATGCTGGAAGACTAGTTTACATTACATTACAAATAAATAAATAAGTTGTTTTCCAAGAAAATAATTAGTGCCTTAGCCTTGTAACAATAATTACCTAATTAAATTATGTAAGATAACTTCCATTAATTGTTGCCTTTAACTTTTTGTCTCTCCTTCCCTTTCTCTGACTCAAGTGTGCAGTAAGATACATCAGAATGGCAGGCAGAAAGCTGTGGCATAATTGCTCACCTTTCATCTGACCTATTTTAGCAATATTTAAACTGCAGGATTTGGATAAATATTTTCATATATAAAAATTAACAGGATGTTATCATCTCCTTTAAAACTATATTAATTGTTATACACATGTATGAAAATATTTACACCCAGATTCAGCATTACTCGCAATGGAGGAAAGGTTGGTGAAGATGACAGAACTTGCTAAGATGTCTAAACTGACTTCTTTGATCAGAAGAAGGACAATATTGATGTTTATTGATGACTGGAAACCTCTTATGGATTTTTCAGATGACAAAATGTACTCATCATTTCTGGTTGAACTTGTTTTTGTTTTATGAACTTACGATTGATGACTAGACAGGATAGATTATATAAAAAGAAGAGAGATATGTTGTAGCCATAGAATAAGAAGTGAATCTGAAATTGTAATTGCTGTAAAGAAGAGCAGAAACTACTTCGTTATACCTTTTTTTTCTATTTTTCTTTTACTTCTTTTCCTCTTTCTTGCACTTTTGGCTTTTTCTTTGATCTTTTTGTCTTCTTTTTCTTATTTTGTATTAGTTTTTATCTTCCTTTAAAAATATTTAATAAAATTATATACTGTATGTTATATACATGTGTGTGTGTGTGTATAAATATATATGCACACAAACACATCCTGCAAAAACCTGAACTTACAAACACTAGATTAGTGTTTTTCAAACTCGGCAGCTAACATGTTTGGACTTCAACTCTCATAATTCCCCAGCCAGCAAAACCGTGGCCTGAATGATGGTCTCTTTAATCCGTCAGGAAAATGTGCAAACTCTGACTGTACTTTCAAGGCAGCAGATCTAAAAATTTACTTTTCTACCTTGCCAGACCCTACATGCTACAACCTCCAGTTTCTCTGAGGCTGATATTTGGCCATGTTTTTTACTGCGGCGCCCCCCCTTGAGCTGCCTTGGCTCCTCTGGGCCTCCATCTTGACAGGCTCATTTGTTGGCATCCAATTCTCTGCTGCTCCCCACTTTTTCCTTTCTCCCTCTATTTCTGTGTCTCCTCTTAAGAGCTTCCCCTCCGAATCTTCCCTGCCTGTCAGGGAGGACAGACCTGTGTCACTTCCCTGGAAGAAGCAGGGGCAAAGCCGGTTGTTCTGGCAACCGCAGGCCATGCCCCTGCTTCCCTCGTTGCCTTGGCGACAGCAGCAGCTGACTCCCTCTGGCTGGCATCCACACCTTGCTGCCCCTGCCTGGATTAGCTCACGGTTGCTAAGCACCTCTGTCCATCTACCACGGTCACCCGGGCAACCAGCACTATGATCATGACTGCCATATTCCGCTGGCCTGGCCTTCTCTGGGCCTCTACATAAACCACAGGAATGACAGCACTGTGCGGACAGCACACCAATACAGAAGACAATGTTGGCCGCAGAGCAGAAGGCCAAAACCCAGAGGATGGCCCGCTTATCGCTGATGCTATTAACAGCACACTGGGCTGTGGCGGGGCAAGCTGGGTTATTAGGATAGCAATTTGTGACCTCTTGGATCAGGTTGGGTAACTGAAAGCCCAGAAGTGTCCAGATGAAGGCGACATCTATTGCCAGAAGGAGGGCGATGCAGAAGATGTAGATCCCATATCTCCAGCCTCCAAAGTGAAGCTCTTCCCCCACTTTGGGAGAATGTTCGGTCCCTGAAATGGGTTTTCGGGCTGCTTCTGCATCCTTGTCTGTGGGGCTTTTCTTTGTAATGTAAACAAACTTCAGGAGAGCTACAGTGAAGATGATGGCAATGAAGTGGAAAACCCAGAAGCCAGAGATGGGGACAGGGAAACGCTGGTTATAGCAGATGGCCGAACAAAATTTATTTGCATCCCCAATGTTGGAGGGCCAACGGCAAACCAAGTCGGCCTTGAGGGAGTCCCAAGGCCCATAAGCGAAAAATAGAGTCACCATGCGAAGGCCAATAAGGAAGTACCATGGGTTGGTCCCCCGGCATATCTTCTCCGCTGAGAGTACTGCAATTGTTGGCTGAAAGAGCCGGGAAATACCACCGATCACCGTAGCCATCTTCACCACCAGAAAGCGAAGAAGGAAACATATGGAAGATAATTGATTAGAAATTAAAACATCTTTTTAAAAAAGGACTATCATGCTAGGCCTGATTCCTTTTTCGATCCTCTTTTTCTCCACTTTTCTTTTTCTGTGATGCGATTTAGCTATGGCAAAGCCAAACCAAACAGACTTTGTCAAGATCGAGCAAAAGTAATTTTTCTTCATGTTGCTCTTCCTATCTTTTGATTTTTTTCTTTATGCTCTATTCCTCTTATCTCTTTTTCTCCCCTCATCTTGGCTTTTCTCACCAATATTTTCTTATATGTTTGATATTTTATGCACAAGACTTAAAAATGCCTTTGAAGGAATTAAATATTTGCTGAAATATCTGATATAACTTAGAATGGCATTTTAATCTAAAGCAAACCCATTGCTTGAGGTAAATTTGATGTGCATATTAATAATCTCTTTCAAATTAGATGAAATACAAACAGAAAACCAATGAGTTGTAATAATTTAAAAGCTGGCTTTAAACCGGAGAATGCCTGATTCAAATGTTTGCTAATCATCAGAGTTTATTGGTGCTGTCAGAGCACAAATTTCAGAGCAAGCAGTAGTATGCTATGGGCCTGGCCTTAACTCAGAATTTCCTAGGATTACCCGGATTCTACTTTCAACTAAGAAAATGCACAACTTCTTTAAGGAGACAAAATGTGAGCATATTAAGATCCAAAATGCTGCACACAGGTAGATATACCTACTGTACCATTAACTGCTGCTGTCGTGCTACAGTGTCTGTTTTGAAATTGAGAGATGTGTCCCCACCTGTACCCAACCATGCTACATGTAAAATCTTTTTTCTCCCACATTCCTATTTATTTATTTAAAACCATTTATGTGGCCATCACAGTCCTGGTAATGACTCTGAGCAGCATGCAAATATTCAAAACCAGGCAGCAAAAAAACTTGAACAACTAATAATTCACCTAACCAATATCCAGGAACAAGAAGAATCATTCCCAATTTATCATTAAAAAGCAGCAATAAAACCAATCAAGCAATTAATCAGCAGGGCAGACAGTTTTTGAGTACAAGCAGTCCTCAACTTATGACCACGATTGGGACTGGAATCTTGGTCACTGAATGAAGTAAATGTTAAGCGAGATACCCACATGATTGCTTCACTCAATGACCACAATCCAGGAACTTTTAGTTCAGTTGTTAAGCAATCTCCTGGGTTATTAAGCAGACAGAGCAAAAAAAGCTATCGTATATGCTGGCGTACAAGATGACCCCCGTCTTTGTCGCCGAGCCGCATTCCTAGAACGTCATCTTATACGCCAGAAACTACCAGTATTTCCGGCATATAAGACGACTCGGCGTATAAGACGACCCCTGTCTTTGGCGCCGATTTTAGCGCTTGCGGAAGTGGCCTTATACGCCAGCATATACGGTATCTCCTGAGTCCAGCTTCCTTTCATGCATAGAAGGAAACTCCTCCGAAGGGTGCAGGAACAGATCTTCAGAACCTGACCTCCATTTCTGCAACTGCCAAAGGAGTTCCCTTCTCTTAAGCAGGAATCCTTTTTGCTCTTGAAGAGCTGCCTTCTAGGAGGGAATCTCAGCTCTACAGTAGACAGCAGCAGCTTGCAACTTCCCTCTGGCTTCCCCATTGATTTTCTGGAGAAGCCAGCAGAGAATATTGCAAATGGCAATAACATGATTGCCTGACACTTGACAACCAGTTGTAAGTGCATACAGATTGTCAAGCATCCAGGACACAATTATGTGACCATAGGAGAGATGGTGCAACAATGGCCATAAAGCACCCATTCCATGGCCATCCTAATTCCAGACCATTGTTAAACAAAGTTGTAAGTCAGGGATTACTTGTATCTTACAAAAGCCTAAAAGGGAGAAAGGGAGCTACCAAATCTCATCTACAGTCTTCAGTTATCATTAGCTGTTCCAGTGTACCTTCCTCTTATAATACAATATACAGTATTATATACTGTATACTTATTATATAGTAATAGTAATAGTAGTAAAGTTGGAAGGGACCTTGGAGGTCATCTAGTCCAACCCCCCGCTCGGGCAGGAAACCCTACAGTAATACCGTATACTTTATAATACAATAATATAGTATACTGTATTATATAATACAGTTTAATACAATAAATTCAGGATAGGTAAATGGACAGACTTTACCAGCCATTGTTAGGTGTGAAAGATCAGGTCCATACATGAAGGTCCAATTAAATTAATTTATTGCTAAACAGCCAATCTTCAAAGAAATCTTTTCAACTAAAGGTTTGCACTTGCTTGGAGTTAGGTAAGGGTCAACGGAATTCAAGAAGGGTTAGATGTAGTCCACTTGTGGCTACTTAGAGATTCTAGGCTGATTTCTTTTTTAACTCCACCCCTAGGTTCTGCTTCTATTTCTCCTACATCAGGGGTGTCAAACTGCCGGCCCGCAGGCCAGATGCATCATGCTGAAACTGTGCCCACCCCATTGCCGGCAATGGAGAAAAAGTCGCAATATGTCGTGACACATCACATGACGTTGCGAGTTTGACACTCCTGTCCTACATCTATTATCTTAGAGCAGCATTTTTCAAGCTTGGCAACTTTAAGATGTAGGACTTCAACTCCCAGAATTCCCCTGCCAGAAGTCAAATCACTACAGTACAGCAATTAGGGAGAGAAGCAGAATAAAGGATAGGCAAAGGGCATCCTCATGGTATTGCTTCCAGCTGATTCAAGGAGAGATAAAGAACATTTTAGCAAAGCTGTAGGAAAAGGGTCTGACTTTAAACTGCAAGCTGCTCAATGGAAACCATCAGCCTAATCTTTTAGATGTCATTGTTATTGTTACTATTGTTTCTCCGTCTGATTCTTTTTTCATTTTTCCTAATGAAATGCTCTAGAGAATTCAAAAATGTGTATATCAGGCCAAATAAAGATATCATTAATTCTGCATTGCCTCTGACCCATAGATCAACAGCAACCTTATTATTGTCATCTGCCTGCTTCATAATGTTGTTATGAAATTAAGCAAGGGTGTGCTACAAGATTAAAATTAAATATAAGAATTAAATAACAATAACAATTCTATCAAAATACCAACAACAACAAGCACTAACAACCAGAAACTCTTGTGTCAGGAGAAGATAAACTGATCTTAACTGAAAAGGCCTTCTGGGAAAAAATAACTTTATGGTTTTTTGAAATCTGATAAAAATATGGATATTTGATCTTTGGAAACTTCTGTGGGCAGTTTCCATAATCCTGATAAAAACACTCCTTAAAGAAAGGAGAGGGACGCAACCTTCTTTTCCAGCTCTCATTGAGCAGGCAGATAGAAACGGATTCCCAGGTCTGAAGAACATTTCAATTCATATATTAAGATCAGGATGAATCTAAGATGCCCTTCCCCTTGGTTGCCTTCTCCAGATGTACTGAGCTTTCAAGTGCCAGAATTCCAAGACAGCATAATTAAAAGCCACTAGAAATAAAACATAATACCATGTGGTATTTTAAAAATTAAGAAAAATGTAATGTATATGAAGCTTTGGGGCTGAATGGCTGTGGTCTTGTTTTCTGGGGTCCTGACTTTGCACCGGCAATTGTGGCTGGCATCTTGAGCAGCTTACCTTGCCTCCAAAGATGCCAGCTGCAGCTGCTGGCGGGGCACCAGAAAACTAGACAAGTCTGAACGTTTATCACTGCTTGATTGATGTCAACTGTGAAAGCCTACACCATTATAAGGAAATATATGGCAAATCTATTTTGAACACAGACACCAATTCTCTTTCTATCTCCCTTACAGATTTTCCTGAGCGAAAGGCAGATTTTTTTCTCACGCCAGAATACCCCATTAGTTTCAAGGTTACAATATCCACAATAGACATTTCTGCAATCAAAAGTGTGACCTGTGCATGGGACAGATTTGGAAAAAATGAATATCAGACAACACATATGCCTGCATATGTCCTTAGTATCCTTTTACTTCCTCTCTGCTTTTCTCTTTCTATCATACAGTTAAACAGGCAGAAAGGACAGGTCAATATTTATGAGACAGGGTAGAATACTTTGTATCCATCTTAGCTTCTGCACTTTGTATGCCTAAACTAACAGCAGTTGATTACACAAATTTCCTCCAACTAACACCATCCAGATGTTTTGGAAATGGCACATGACCAACAATTGTGAATCTGGAAGTATTAGTCCCAACACATGTAAAGCTGGCCAAGTTGGGAAAGTGCAAAGTGAAAATCTATTAGCAGTTAACAGATCTATTTGATCTTCAAAATAGCAACTGATTGATCTAGCTAACTTTTGCAGATTTATCTTATCTACTAACAAAGCTATCTCTGCCACTAGCATACTATCATCACCTCCTATTGGTAAATTCCATAATTTAGGCTAGAGATGTATGAAATACATAAGCTTAACCTGATTCTCCTAGCCATCAAATTTCAGCCACATGACTTTGAGTTCTGGTATTATTCAATTCATCCTCCTGGTCCAACATTTTATAAACTTTGCTTGTATCTTCCTGCTCTTTCGATATGGATCCCAGGTTTATTTAATCTTCCCTTGTGGAAAAAGGCCCCTTCTGCTCATGCCTTCAACCAGCACAGCAACTGGGCATCATAGCTTGCTACAGTGCTATAATACAGTATAGGCACTGCAGTCCCAAAGGTGCTGTTTCTTTGATTTTCCTTGAAGATGTTTTGCTTCTTATCCAACAAGCTTCTTCAGTTCTTCTTCAGAACTGAAGAAGCTTCTTGAAAGAGAAGTGAAACGTCTTCAAGGAAAAACAAAGGAAGTCCAGTTGCTTCTTGAAAGTACACCTTTGAGCCAACCATGACTAGATGGAATCTAGATTCTAGATGGAGATTCTAGATTAACTCTCCATAGACATATAGGCACTGTAGTTTGCTGTATCGAAGGATTGATTTTAAAAAAAAGTTGTTGAAAATATATGCACTGCTCCTGCGCTGCAGAATTCCCGATCCCATCTTCCCCAGATCCTTCTCACTTGGAAAGTGGGTAGGTCTTTCCCACTCCGATTTTATCCTTCTCAGGGTATCCTGTCAATTCCCTTCTAATTTTTTTTTTTACATAAGTTCCCATTACCTTATTTTCCTAGATTCTCCTTACTTCTTGTTCACCTCACTTCTTCTCCTCTCTCTTCCTTTGGGCTTAGTGATCCTCCCAGTGCAGTCACGCTCTCTCAATCTCAGATCATCCCAAGCAGGTATTATTTAAGGAAAACCTGCTGTCAGTACTAATGCTGCACACCTCCTACACAACTCCAGCCAGATATTCTCAGCATTAATGTTGTATGAGTACTTCCCAGTTGAGGGAAAAAAAACAATCAAACTAAACCAGCTGGACAGGTTTAAAGAAATCAGGAAATTGGGGCTTCATCATTACTATTGGAAATGCCACCCCTCTTCTCTTTTCTTGCCTGGCATGCTTTAGACTGTTTTGAGATGAGCAGGAAATGGCCCTAATCAATTGTGGGTTGTTGTTTTTTTTTGTTATTCCTGCTATTTTGAAATAGGATGATCATATTAGGGGGAAAATGCACCTGTGGATTGTTCTATCAGTTCTGAAGTATTTATAACTTATCTCTTTTGTCATGAAAGAAAGATTCGATCTTGTAGATGTTCTATCAAATTAAGGGAGGAAGTATAATGTAACATGACACGGGAAACCTGCAATTTACTCTGAAACTAGTAAAATAAATAAAAAGATCTTCAGATTCCCCATGTTTGACCCAAGAATGGGCAGAAACCCAGAGGGAAAAAAGCAAAATGTTCAGTATCTGCAGTTGTATGATTGATCCTAAACAAACCTGAACTAGTCCTCACTTAATGACAGCAATTGGGACTGACAAAAAGAGATGCAGACTTAAAGCAGAAAAATCACATTTTTTTTAAGCTGGGGTCTTGAAAGGGGTCTTTAACCCTCTTTAAAGGGCTGGGCAAAGAATCTAGGGTAGCGTTTTGGCCACTTTAAGACGGGTGGACTTCGACTCCCAGAATCCCCCAGCCAGCATGTGAGATATAGATGCAGCTTTTGTCACTTTAAGACAGGTGGACTTCAACTCCCAGAATCCCCCAGCCAGCATGTGAGATATAGATCCAGCTTTTGTCACTTTACGACGGATGGACTTCAACTCCCAGAATCCCCCAGCCAGCATGTGAGATATAGATCCAGCTTTTGTCACTGCACTGATTTACAACAACAGTTCTGGCAATCCTAACTGTTGTTGTAAAGCAAATCAGCCACGATTGTTGAGTGGGATGTCACGTGAGCACAACTTGCAATTTCCTGTCAGCTTCCACATTGACTTTGCTTGTTGAAAGCTGGCAGAGAAGATGGAGTGCTGCAATTATTGTCAACGTGGGCCATTTGCCAAGCACCCAAATCGCAATCATGGAAGCAGAGAGGCACTGCGACAGCTGCAACTTTGAGCATCAGTTTTAAGTCCCACGCATTTACACTACTATCCATCTTCATTGGGCTTTAATGTACATTTTAACGAAATCATTATTTAAGCTCACTTAAAAGGATGCCTGGGTGTTAAGTCATTTGTTGGCAAGAAAGAATTCCCTAGGTTTTCTAATCTAAAAATTTGGTTCCAGGTCTGCAAATAAAGTAAATAATACAAAGGAAGTATATTTGCACAGTGGAACTTAGAATTAAATATCTGTAATTACACCAAATATTTTAGTCCCAGTTAAAATGAATGGGAGTAAAAGTTCTATTGATTTCATGGAAATCAGTTGTTTAACTCTGGAGCCACCATTATTTCAGAACAAGGATCTTTCCACTCCTACTTACAATCCATTGCAAGACTGTCTTGAGTTGCAGGCATATTTGTTTATACATACTATATATATATTATTCTTTTTCATATGTCACTTTCAGTGATTTAATAAAAATGTGCACATATTAAAAGACAATGGTTGCAGTCTTCGACTACATGACTATTTGAAGTTACAAAGGCACTGAAAAAAATGACTTATGACAGTTTTTCATACTTACGACCGTTGTAGCATCCCCACGGTCACATGATCAAAATTTGGACACATGTTAACTAGCTCATATTTATGCTGTTTGTAGTATCTCAGGGTCATGTGATCCATCTTTTGCGACAAGCAAAGTCAATCTGGGGAAGCCAGATTCATTTAACAACTATGTTACTTACTGAACAATTGTAGTGATTCACTTAAGAACGGGGCAAGAAAGGTCATAAAACGGGGCAAATCTCACAAATGTCTCACTTAACAACATTCATTTTAGGCTCAATTGTGGTGGTAAGTTGAGGACTACCTGTGTAACAGCACCAATGTGTTCCAGTAGTGGACTTTTGAGATTTCTCAAGGCTCCTGTGCTTTTATTTAATAGGCCAATAAGTCCCACAACCTTCAGAGGTCCCAGGCTGAGACTCTTGAGTGGCCGGATAATTTAGCAGGATTTTGCAAGGATTTTTTCCTGCAAGGCTGAGCAGTGAAATTCCTCAATAGTTGTTGCATACTTATGGATTGCCCTTCTTGTGTAGATGTGCAATAAATGCATTTTTTTAATTCTTTGGGAATAAATTCTTGCTTTCAGAACTCAGTGAGATTTCTATAAGTACAGGACCACCAGCTTTGTAGATCTCTGAAGTATGGCATCTACCCCTGGAGCTTTGCCCCAAGAGAGCAGACTGACAGTTTTTGTAACTTCCACTGCTACCCTAGAGAGTCGTCCATAGTGCTGTTGAAGTCAACTTGGGGAATCTTGTCTATCACCTTATAATTAATAGATGATGGTTGGTTGAGGACAGCTTCAAACTGTTCAATCGTCTCTGCAGGATCTGAACCTTCTCTTTAATGAGAGATATTCAGGAGGGGGGAACTCTGAAGAGATTGAGATCTGTAAAGAGGGTAGAGGGCTTCCTAAGATCATTTGAAGTTGTTTCTGACAGCATGTTCCTCTGTCTCTTCTGCCTTGACACTCAGCCAGTCATCTTCCATTTTATAAAATTTATTCTGGATTCCCCTGGGACACTGGTAAAGGCATTATTCTTGGCAGCTGATGGTAGGTCTTCTGATGGGCAGGATGAAGGGGAGGCTTTTCAGCAAACAGAGCCTGTATCTCCTCATCATGCTCACTGAAGGTCTTAGCATCTTTCAAAGCTAATGAATGGACAGCATCCCGGGAACATTTTCAGTCATGCTCAATAGGTCAGCAAGCTTGGTTTCTAGGTCTTCAACCAGAGCTGAAGTTGTGTTGGGGTTCCTCAGCCTGACCACAGTGATTCTTTTTGTGGCCTTGTTTCCTTGGGGCCATTTCTTGGGTCTAATATGGAATTTCATTTTGGAATCAATTTTTCCAATAGTGATTTGTCCAACAATCAGTATGATCATGGCCTTGGTTATTCTGACTTCCTGCCTGTCTTTTCTCCTAACTTTGATGTAGTCAGTAAGATGCCAATACTTAGGATAGGGATACATGTAGACAGGCAGAAAGTCATGTTGGGGAAGAAGAGACTGTGCACTGCACAGATCTGTAGTAAAAGTAGGCCATCACTGTTACACTTGTCCACTCCATGTCTCCAATGACTCCCTGACAGGTTGTAGAATTGCACCCTACTTTTCTATTGAGATTGCCAAGCAAGATCAGCTTATCAGGTTATTGCTGATAAGAGACCATCTAGTTCTTCATAGAATCTGTTTATCACCTGATCTGGGTTGGTCACTGTAGGAGTATAAGCATGACCAATCCTGACTTCTGTAGTGAAGCTCTAGTGTCATCAGCCGATCACTAAGAGCTACAATGTCAATGTGGCATCTTGCAAGCTCTCTGGCAACCAAGGTTGTTCTTCTCTTTGGTGTGTCTGCTGTAGGATTATCCAGCTGGGCTGCTAAATCATGCTGGTAGACACCAAGTTTCACTGCTGCTTTGATCAGCAAAAAAAGATCATTAGACTTGAGCTTCCTGTGTGGAAATCTATGATGATAGCTCCCAGTGTATCCACACCTGATGCTTCATCACTTGCCCACAGGACTTCTGATGAAAGAGAAAATAAGTAGTGTTGCAGATAAAAAAAGTCAAAACTAGTGTGTGTCATTTGGATTTAAGTGAGAAAGAGTTATGCAATGTCAACCTACTGTAACTATCTCTTCCCAATTCGTATCTGGATCCAGGAGCAGGACAAAATGACTGGAGATGGGACAAAGTGCAGTAGGTGACCAGGATGCCTTCAGTGTCTTTTTATAGTCTACATATTCCATGAGGCTTTCAGAGCTGCTTCTTGACTGTTGAACTTTCCAAAGGTCTCATCACTCAGCCTGTCGGTGTCTGTCCTCACATACTGGGATAGACAATTCCCTATCTCACCAAAGATTGAAAACCCATTGACTACCTTCACCTGATTTAGCCAATTTGTTGAAAGTCATTGCCTGCGATATGGCCCCTGTCACATGCAAAGAGTTGTGGGAATGGAATGGAACAGAACAGAATAGAACAGAATTCTTTATTGGCCAAGTGTGATTGGACACACAACAAATTTGTCTCCAGTACATAAGCTCTCAGTGTACATACAAATAACAAAATGATAAGTCATAGATCATAAATTATAGTTATAATCATTAATCATAAGATACAAGTGATAAATAATAAGAAACCAATAGGAGAAGGTAGTAGGAAAGATGAGGATGAGAAAAGATGAGAAGATGAGAATGAAAATTGCGATGCAACCTACTACATGGGTAAATATCTTTAGGCCTCAGACAGTTGCTGTGGGAATTAGGTGTTCAGCAGGGTGATGGCATGGGGGGAAAAATACATTTGTGTCTAGTTGTTTTGGCATGCAATGCCCTATAGCAGTGTCCTGAGGGGAGAAATTAAAATAGTTTATGTCCAGGATATGAGGGGTCTGTAGATATTTTCTTGGCCCTCTTTCTGGTTCATGCAGTATACAGATCTTCAATGGAAGGAAGGCTGCAATTGTTTATTCTGCAGTCCTAACTATCCATTGAAGTCTGTACCTGTCCTGTTTGGTTGCTGTTCCAAACCAGACAGCTACTGAGGTACGTATGACAGATTCAATAATTCCTCTATAGAACTGTATCAGCAGATCCTTGGGCAATCTGAGCTTTCTGAGTTGACATAAGAAGAACATTCTTTGTTGTGCCTTTTTAATGATGGTTCTAGAAGCCAGAGGTGAGACACAGATAGACCACAGATGGATA